TGGTTTCAAAATCCAGTTAGAAAGAAGGACTGCATATACCCGATGAGTTAGTTGTTTGAAGCCGGAATATGTCCTCAATCTACTCAGACAGGAATTGAGTAGTTTCACCATCAGTCTTCAGTCAAATGAGGCAGCAGTAGATAGCGAGGAGTTTATGGAATTTCAGCAACCGTTATTTTGTTGTTCCGCACAAAAACCTACAGCAGTACAGGTATTCTGAGCAGTCTATGCTGAAAAACGCTAGTTTTCAAGTACCTGAAACAACTTCACCTAATAATAAGACTGGTCAGTTTCTAACTCAGGACTGTAACGCACATATCAGATTGAAAGGTTTCAGTGTGCGATGAATCTCAATTTTCATTCTTTGAAAAAAAACGACGCCTAATCAGTTACACACATTTGAGGATCAGGTAACTTCATATAGTAGTGAGTCAGCAGACCTATTCTCAAACAAACATGAACTCTGGACCTCCGTTCTAGTCAAACAAATCACTAGCTAACAAAACCGAACGAGAGCAAGAGCGAAGTACTTTGTTCCTGGAAGGGGTGCGGTTTACTGCGAACCGTTTGCAATTGGCTTTCTGGATCCATCGCAAAAACACGCCATATGCTATTGATCGATATGCCGCAGGATACCGCTTCCGTTTCATCGCTCCCTGGGATTTAGCGAGCAGACACAGAGGGTGTCTTCTGTTTGCCATGTTATACTGCTATCACCTTTCATCTCGCTCTTCACACTTGTCGATATTCTCGATCTTAAGCAATTTGAAAAGCCAACGATCTACAATTTCAACCACCAGGGTTCGATTTTATTTTGTATCGTTCAGCTGTAACACTCTCTCGGTTCCTAGCTGCCATGCCACCCAAAGGAAGCACGAGGGCTGGGATACTGCCAGGTTGCCCAAGCCTAGACAGGAAAAGTCGAGTGGCAGAGGTCGGGTTCGAACCATGAAACTTGCAGTCGGTAAGTTCGCGCTCTAACCACCTGGGCCATCGCGCCCTTCAGAATTCGATTTCACAAACGGGAATTTTCAGATTAATCTTTGTTTTCACACTATGCTTCGTGGGCGAAAAACCGTAAATAAGATTCTACTTCGATGCCACGCAAAAATTGTAATCCATGTTAAACTTCTAACATTCAGTCATCGATGACTGTTTGGAGTGTGCTCTACTAGTGCACATTTGATGCCATGTTCTCTTACGAAATCTCGGGCAAATATACTACTAAACAACTACTTATGGCTCTTTGATAGTGTACACTACTTCCTTGAGAATGGTTATACGTTCAACTCATGCTCAGGGATATGGCAGCACACTTATTTTGCTGTTATAAAGGGACTGCGTGGTCATCTTTCTACTGAAACTAAGAATACAAGTAATCACGCCTAACGCTGAGGTGGCCACTACATTCTGTGTTTGGTCCCATAATCTTACTGAATGTCAGGTTAACCCCTGCTTTGCCACATCCGAATTCGGTGAATGAATCTGTACCAGGTCACCCGTGACCACATGCCACTTGATATACAGTATACGACCCCACGATTGTTAAACTGCCACTCATTATCAGACAGGTTGGTTGAGCGGCAAATGAATTTTTCTCTCTGTTGATGTTACACAAGGTAAACCACGAGGCCACGACCCTGTTACATTGTGACTCCCCGGCGTTGGTGATTACATCCTCCTCTGAAGATCTTGACAGAAAGACTGCGTCTGCGACATAAACAAAAGAGACAGCTACCAAATTGAGGAGGTAGCGGCTTAGTTGTGTTCCGACTGGCAAGCTTCTCCGTGCTTCACCGCAAATATGGGCGGATCATGTGTAGACTTGTGTA